ACAAAATTGTACATTGGCTCCCGGCCAGCCTGGGCCAGGGCCAAGGCAGAGGGTGCTGTTCCCTCACTGTTTCCAGGATGGCTTCGCGAGCCACATGAAACCACTTTATGGGCCGCATCCGGCCCCCGGGCCTTGTGTTTGACATGTCTGATGTAGAGTAACCTTCTTCAATAGGGTGCTCACAAAAGTATCTTGGTGGCTGATATGCTTGCTAGAAGTTTTGAAGGTTGCAATCACAACACAGGTTGGGTGCCCCACTTGGGAAAGGCTGGTTTTGAGGAAAAGCAAGAACTGCGACAGAAGTGTGACTTTACCTGTAGCAACCTGGAATTAAGGAGAAACTTAATTCAAGATGGACAATATTTAATATTTAATTGCTATGTATATGTAGGGATGTGGTTCTATACATATGTTGTTCATAGTATGTTTAGGTGTGTGTCATGTATATGTTTCGCTTTGAGAGCAGGCAACTAAATTTCATTTTTGATGTGTGCCATTGTGCCCACAGTATAAAAATGACAATAAAGGTTATCTTATCTATCTTATCTACTTCCTGACAGTGAGGACAATCAACCAGTGGAACAGCTTACCCCCAGAAATCATGGGCGCTCCATCACTGAAAATTTTTAAGAAGAGACTGGACAATCACCTGTCTGAGATGATATAGGTTCTCCTGCTTGAGCAGGGGCTGGACTAGAAGACCTCAAAAGTTCTATTCCATTCCATTCCATTCCATTCCATTCCATTCTATTCTATTCTATTCTATTCTATTCTATTCTAATCTATTCCATTCCATTCCATATTTTCTATTCTATTCTATTCTATTCTATTCTATTCTATTCCATTCCATTCCATTCCAATCCACTCCATTCCATTCCTAGCAATTCTTATTCCATTCCAATCCACTCCATTCCATTCCTAGCTATTCTTATTCTATTCCAATCCATTCCATTCCATCTATTCTATTCTATTCTATTCTATTCTATTCTATTCTATTCTATTCTATTCTATTCTATTCTATTCTATTCTATTCCTTACTGAGATTGCCCCTCTCTGCTTTTGGACCTTATTAATTTAGCTGGCTGGGAAATTCTGGGACCTGAAGTCCACAGGTCTTAAAACAGCTAAGGTTGAGAAACACTGCCACATGGCATATCATACATGACCTTGCAATATATGTTAGATTTCACCTAGATTAATAAAACACAATATAAATGTTAAAAATATCTATATTCAAATATTAATGTCTAGGCCATCTAGCCAACGAAGCACAACATCGTTTATATGAAAAAAAAATCAGATACTGGACCAGTATATGCCCTGAGTTTACAACTAGTCAGAATGGGTCATGATTTTGCATCTTAATTATTTATCCATTTCAGTACATCTCTATTCCATTATTTCCACAGGACAAAGAAAGACATAAGTTGGCCTAGAGTTGGGGGTATCCACGGAACTTCAAAAATAAGTGCATAATTATGGCCACCATCCTGACTTTTTTTTCATAAGTCCCTGGAGATACCTCTCCTTGGGCTCCTTTCTGGTGGACCGCAAGATCTCGTTAAGATCCATAAGTAGAAGTCAGCTTTGAACATTCTAATTTTGTATTTTTACCGAAACAAACACAACCACGAAGACAAATGCTTTTTTTAAAAGGTTAAAAAAAACACACACAGTAAGTCTAAAGCAAAAACAGTGCTTGCTCTAAAACCCATTAAAGTAATTCTAGACGCAACCAGGGTAAACTTCAACCCCATACAACGCCATTCCTCATGATAATCCCTCCAAATGGTCAATCATAGTCTGCAGCACAGCTAGACCTTGACTTGAGCCCAAAATTTCCGTTGCTAAGTAAGACAATTGTTAAGTGATTTTACCTTTTACCTTTTTTTTTTACCTTTCTTGCCCCAGTTGTTAAGTGAATTGCTGCAGTTGTTAAGTTGGCAACACGGCTGTTAAGTGAATCTAGCTTCCCCACTGATTTTGTCAAGAGGTCGCAAAAGAGAATTGCATGAAACACACTGCAACCGTCGTAAATGTGAGTCAGTTACCAAGCATCTGAATTTTGATCATGTGACCCCCGGGACATACTGCAACCGTCGTAAATATGAGTCAGTTACCAAGGATCTGAATTTTGATCATGTGACCCTGGGAACGCTGCAATGGTCATAATTAGTCACTTTTTTCATTGCCCTTGCAACTTCGAGCAGTCACTAAAAAAAATGGTTATTAGGTTAGGGCCGTGGTGGCAAACCTGTGGCACACAGAGCCCCCTCTGTGGGCACACATGCCATTGCTCCAGTCCTAGGCCTTCAGTTGGGTTTTATAAAACCTTTTTGCTTTAGGCCTCCGCCACCGTGTCCCCCCCCCCAAAAAAAATATTGTTCAATCAATCAATCAATTTCAACTTCTCGTGGGAAAAAAAAGATTTCGCAAAAATGGAATTGATTGATTGAACTTTTTAGTCTCACCCAGTTTGCCCCAATTGGCCACACCCACCCAATGGGCCACACTCAACCAATGGGCCAGGCCCACCCAGCACCCAACGATACGTAAGTGGGTTTTGGGTTGCAGTTTGGGCACTCTTTCTCTAAAAGGTTCACCATCACTGGGTTAGGAGGGCTAACTGTAATCAAAATCTCTAAAAATTCTCTTTCTTGCTTATAACACAAAGCATGTTCTCTTTTCCTCTGCCTTTCTCCCTAATGTGTCTTTGTCATGAACCCCGATTAAAAGGGGTAACTGTAAGGCTAGGACCCCACTCTAGACTGTAGAGATTTCTGCAAAAATGCTTCATCCTTAGTTATCCATAGTCAACATTTCGCCTGCATTCACACCTCAAGATGCAAGATGTGAGAAAGATGTAAAGAATGCATCTTTTAGTGCTGCTTTCCAAAAATTGGCCCAATTCACAGATCATAACGAACCAAAATATGACTAAGTTTAGATTATTGTACATTATGATGTGAACCAGCTGCAACTTACTCAAAAATATGATTAATCAAAACATGATTTAGCATGATGCATGAGCCTAGTCAATAACCCGCTGCTGTGTAATTAATTCCTCGCCTCATAGCTGCACACATTTCAGTAATAAAACCCCGTCCAATACGCAATTGACACCTTAACAGTTCTTCTACCACAAGATCAAATCAAAGTTTACAGGGGCAGCTGATTTTTCCTGCTTTCAACCTCGTGGATCACTTCCACTGATAACTATTCTACTTAAAAGAAAAAAAACTTAAGTGTGCCATGATTTTCCCACAAAATGAAATATGCATATCTCACATAGAAAAAAAACACAATTAAAAAACAAGACAAAAGAAAGCGTGGAGCAAATATTTCTGCCTGGAAGGAACGGAGGGAAAGAATACAATAGGATAGGATAGGATAGGATAGGATATAGAATATAGAATATAGAAAATAGAATAGAATAGAATAGAATAGAATAGAATAGAATAGAATAGAATAGAATAGAATAGAATAGAATAGAATAGAAGCTGGAAGGGACCTTGGAGGTCTTCTAGTCCAGCCCCCTGCTCAAGCAGGAGAACCTATACCATCTCAGACAGGTGATTGTCTAGTCTCTTCTTAAAAATCTTCAGTGATGGAGCGCCCACGATTTCTGGGGGTAAGCTGTTCCACTGGTTGATTGTCCCCACTGTCAGGAAGTTTCTCCTTAATGGAAGGAAGGAAGGAAGGAAGGAAGGAAGGAAGGAAGGAAGGAAGGAAGGAAGGAAGCTTTTCATTTCTAGCTTCCTGTTCTCGTGAGTTCTACCCTGCTCAAATGACAATCTGTTTCCCCTCCAAAAGTCTTTTCCAAAGAGCAGCACCAAATACATCAGCTTTTTTGCCGCTTACACCACTGTTCCCATTGACCACTTGAGTCTACTCCAGCTTCCTCTTACCCTAAAGCAGTGGTTCTCAACCTGTGGGTTGGGACCCCATTTGGGGTTGAAAGACCATTTCACGGGGGTCGCCAAACAAGGCTGTCCGCCATTTTTTCCCCTTTTCTTTGGCCACGCCCCTGGCACCCGGTGATGTATAAGTGGTTGGGGGTCACCACAACATGGGGAACTGTATTATGGGGTCGCGGCATTAGAAAGGTTGAGAACCACTGCCCTAAAGAGACAGCAAACTCTCCCTGCAAAGAGAGACACCTTTTCCCACGCCTTTCTCAAGAGCTCTTGCATCACAAGAACCCACAACTAGAGCCGAGGGCAAGAGGCAAAGCAGAAAGCGTGGTTTTTCAAGCCATTCACCTTCAGGTGGAAAAAAATGAACCCTGGCAACCCCTTCATTATCCCCCTACCTGAAAGCCCGCGTGGACAGCTGTCTCCTAGCACGCATGCAAGGGCTGCATTCCTACAACCAACTGAACCTACCAGCCAATTCGACTTCCAGGCTCTCGTCCTATAATAAGACCCACACCTTAACCCCAATCACCCAGCACGAAACCCAACCGAGGTCAACGCCAACCAAAAGGAGAGCAAGCTGTGACGAAGCTACCAGGTCTTGACCCGACCTGGCTGAACGCGTCTCGTGTGAACGCGGCCAGCGGGCACTTTCGGCAGTCCCAGCCCGCCATCAAGCAAACCAAACGGGCGGAGCAACCGAGGGCGACTCGGGCTTCAAACGTCCCGCTCAAGCAACAGGTGTGGCGGAAACCCCCGACCCGGCACCTGCCGGTTCTCCTCTCCGCTTCCCCACCTCGCAGCGGGACCGGGAAGCGGAAAAGCAGCCGGGCGAAGGAAGCAGGAGATCCCTCGTCCGCCTGCCCGCCCGCCCGTAGAAGAGAAAGCGGCTGGGTTAAGCCCTAGCTGCAGAAAGAAGTGCCCGCTGGCCGCGTTCAGACGACCCGTGTAGCCAAGTCGGGTCAGCCTCGGTTCGCGCAACCCGACCAGCGTTGACCTCGAGAGAAAAAGCACCAAGCCCGCCGTCCGCTCAGCGCGCTTTCCCCGCGCCCGGCCGTGCCCAAGCTCCCCGGCCACTCTTCTCACCTCCGGGGCTCTCCTTTCCGCCGGTCTTCCAGCTTGGCGGTTGCTCGGGGCGGCCGGCAGAGGCGAAGACGGGAGCCCGAGGACGAGCGGGGTCCGCCACGAGGCAACAGTAGCCAGGAAGCGGCGCGGCGCGGTTGGGCCGACCCGGCGGCGCGCTCCGCTTGGCCGCGTCTTTTCTCCTCGGCTCTCGGCAACTTTTCGGAAACCCGGGCGGGCTGCGGAGCGAGCGCGATCCGCGGCCACGACCTTCCTCCTCCTCCTCTGGTTCCTCCTCCTCACGCGACCCCCCCCCCCCGGCCGGCTGCAGCGGGGCGCGCGCGAGCCCTGGAGACCCTCCTGGATCGGGTGGCCGGGCTTGGCGGGCGCGCCAGGCGGGACTATCCGGCGGCTTGAGAGGCGAGCGTCTCGCTGAGGTCGCTCCGCTTTTCTCCGACCCTGACCGGGGTAGGGAGGTGGGCGTGCGAGTCAGGTGAGGCTCGGCTCGGCGGGGCCAGCCCCCTCCTCCTCCTCCTCTTCCTCCCGCTGCTCTGCTTTCTCCTCCGGCGGAGAGTGGCTGCTGCTGCTGGCGGCGGCGGCGGCGGCGGCGACGTTCAGAGCGGGCGTCCTCCGGCGGCGAAGCCCGTGCGAGGTTTAAAGCCGCGGCTAGGCGCTCCGGCCCGCCCCCCGGTCCGTCCGTCCCTCCTCCCGGATCCCATTCCCACCCCGCGAGCCCTCGTGCTAGCGCGGCCGAGAGGCGTCACGGGGCCCCGGGAGGAGGAGGAGGAGAAGGAGGAGGAGCCAGGCCGGGTCTGGTGCGGCGAGGGCTCGCCGGAGGGAGGCGGGGAAGTGGGGGGGGATCTCGGTCCGTTTGTCGGCCGGTCCGTGGAGGGTTTGGGATGAACGGTGGCCGATTCTGTCTCGGGCGGGGAATGGAGCTGCTGCGTCTGGAGAGTGGGGAAGGTAGTATAGTTGTAGTTTAGTTTAGTTTAGTTTAGTAGAGTAGAGTAGAGTAGAGTAGAGTAGAGTAGAGTATAGGTAGTAGTAATAGTAATAGTAGCAGTTTAGTTTTAGTATAGTATAATATAGGTAGTAGTAATAGTAATAGTAGCAGTTTAGTTAGTATAGTATAGTATAGTATAGTATAGTATAGTATAGTATAGTATAGTATAGTATAGTATAGTACAGGTAATAATAATAAGATAAGATAACCTTTATTATCATTTTTTTACTGTGGGCACAACGGCACACATCAAAAATGAAATTTAGTTGCCTGCTCTCAAAGTAGTAATGGTTATAATTATAGTTATAGTATAGTATAGGTAATAGTAATAGAATAGAATAGAATAGAATAGAAGAATCATAACTTTATTGTCACTTTAAATGTACTAATCAGCGTACATTAAAATGAGATTTCCTTGCATACAGCCCTCGGAGGGTAACTGCCTCCAATATACACTGCATAAACATGACCAAAAAAAGATATGCATATACACACACACATATGACCCAGAGAAACAACACAGTAAATATTTCTGAAAGGGTGTTTCAGAAAAATCCCTGGGGAAAAAACTCTCCAAGGAAGGTCATCTGAAGACTGCAGGTTCTCCAGATCCTAAATTGGAGGGGGGAGGGGGGTGTCCAAGCTTGGCAAGTTTAAGACTTTTGGACTTCAACATCCAGAATTCCCCAGCCAGTTTAGCTGGGGAATTGAAGCCCACAGGTCTGGAAGTTGAAATCCACAGGTCTTAAAAATTGCCAAACTTGGGACATCCCTGCCCTAAATGGACCCATTTTGCACGTTTGGGCCAGACAGGTGCAGAATAAGACAATAACTGAATAACAGAATTGGAATGGACCTTGGAGGTCATCTAGTCCAACCCCCTGCTCAAGCAAGAGAAACTATACCAATATCAGACAAGTGGCTGTCCAATCTCTTTTTACAAACTTCCAGTGTTGAAGCACACACAACTTCTGGAGGCAAATTGTTCCACTGGTTAATTGTTTTCACTTTAGGAAGTTTCTCCTTAATTCTCTCCTTGATCAATTTCCATCCATTGTTTCTTGTCTTGCCTTCTGGTGCTTTGGAAAATATACTGATTCCTTCTTTGTGGCAGCCCCTCAAATATTGGAATACAGCTATCATGTCATCCCTAGTCCTTTTCTCTAGACTAGCATCACACACCAACCCAGGATGTGAACTCGGATATCTTCCAAATCTACAAGACTCTTGTGTCTCTGTTAAACTGCTGGCCAGCCGGTTAGGTGTGTTGTGTGAACGCGCACAGTGGCTTATTATCTTCAGGGTATCTTAGGATGGCATGGATCATTGTTATAGCCCAAAATTTTGGACAGCTCACAAGCAGAGCCCTGTGTTAGTGCCACAAGTCCTCTGCCTGTATGTAATCCACACTTACGTTTCTCTGAATTCAATGAGGCTTATTCCAAAGCAGGTGTGTGTTGCGGGTGTCCAAGATATTGAGTGCGGTGCATGAACTGGGATGTAGGCAGAAGAGTGGATTGAAATAGAATTGAAAGGCACAAGAGCTTATCTACAGCAATTCCTCTAAAGTTTATTCCTCAAAGGAATACAGTGATCTGTAGAAAGAAAAATCTTCATCAGGATCCAGTCCAAGCTGGGAATAATCAAAATGGAGACTGCTTTAGAAAGAAGGCTGGAGTTTATTGAAGAGGAGAGCCAGACAGAAAGATGGTTCTGGGAAAACTGACCGCATGTAGTGGGGAGTGGTGGGTTTTTATACCTTCTGGGGCTCTTGAGATTGTTTCTTGTTCCTGTTTGAGGCATTGTATTTCCTGTGTCATGTACTTTGACCTGAGTCTGAATGTCCCCTTTTGGTATTGGTGGGTTAATCCTATTATGTCTCCTGACCTTAGAATTTGAATGGGGGTATGTAGATTTTAGGTGTCTTTGTCTTCCTAATAGCTTCCTGGCTCCAACCTTCCTGAATGGATTATTACATCTGCATTTCTAAAAGCTGGCCTCTGCCTAATTTCTGCTTGGGGAGAGGGTCTGGGGCTGATTTCTGTCTTTTTAAAGATCTTCTCCATTATTCCTTTGGGGAAATATATTCTGCCTTTTTAATATTCCCCCAAATATTTCTTTCTCAGGATTCTTCCCACAGATCCTTTCTGGACTCAGGAATTTTAGTTAATCCTATTGCTATTAAAAGAATTTTGTGTCCCCTTAAAAAAAATTTAATAGCTTCATCTCTGGGGAGTCATTAGCTTCCTTGTTCAGAGGTTAATCTGTTTACCCCTATCCATCATGCTGAAATGTATCTCTATTCTGCAACATATACAGTCAGTCCTCAACTTACGACCACAGAATTTTCATTGCTAAGCAAGATAGTTGTTAAATGAGCCATGCCTGATTTTGCACCCTTGTTATTTACTGCAGTTGTTAAGTGACTCAAACAGTCATTAAGCGAATCTGGCTTTTCCCCATTGACTTTGCTTGTCAAAAGCCAGCTGGGAAAGTTGCAAATGACAATCACAGGATTCTTGGATGCTACTGTCACAAATATATGCTGATCGCCAAGTACAGGTAGTCCTTGACTTATGACCACAATTGAGCCCAAAATTTCTGTTGTTAAGTGAAACATTTGCTAAGTGAGTGTTGCTCTGTTTTACGACCTTTCTTGCCACAGTTGTTAAGTGAATCACTGCAGTTGATAACTTAGTAACCTGGTTGTTTAAGTGAATCCGGCTTTCCCCTTGACCAGGGGTAGGCAACCTTGGCTCTTTTATGACTTGTGGACTTCAATTCCCAGAATTCCTGAGCCAGCATGGGGGAACTATGGCCCCTTCATGACTCGTGGACTTCAACTCCCAGAATTCCTGAGCCAGCCATGCTGAGGGGAAAGGGAGAGGTTTCCCAAGCTGAGCCATGCTGGCTCAGGAATTCTGGGAGTTGAAGTCCAAGAGTCATAAAAGAGCCAAGGTTACCTACCCCTGCCCTTGACTTTGCTTGTCAGAAGGTCACAAAAGCAGATCACTTGACCCCGGGACACTGCGACCGTCATAAATATGAGTTAGTTGCCAAGCGTCTGAATTTTGATCACATGACCATGAGGGGGATGCTGCAAAGGTCGTAATTGTGAAAAACGGTCATTTTTATAATGCGGTTGTAAGTTTGAACGGTCACTAAATGAAATGTTGTAAGTCCGAGGACTACCTGTACTTGAATTTGGACTGTGGGGATGTTGCGACAGTTATAAGTGGCTTTTTTCAATGCCGTTCTAAATTCAAATGGTCGCTAAACAACCGGTTGTAAGTTGAAGACTATACTTAGAAAGCCATCCGTGCAAAACACTCCTTGATTGTTTTCATCCCTCCCATCTGGTGCTTATTCCCTCAGAACCACGGCGGAGAAAAATGTTTTTCAAGCAAGAGGAATCAAAACTGGTCAGTTATAAATCCAGCAGTCACAATCGCCCAAATCCCTGTAGGGTGTGATTAGTTTTAAGTTCTAAGGTTGTTGTTGTTGTTTTGTGTGGTTTGCAAGATTACACAAATCCAGGTGTTTGGTTGGGATGGGGAAATATCTGACTCAAAGCCAGAGAAAGGGGGCATTGAGCAAACAAGGTAAGGATGTTGTGGGATGGCAGTCAACAACGTGTGAGCCTATAGATCAGCCTTGGATTAACCATTAAGGCAAACAAGCAGAGTGTTTAGGGCACCAAAGGAGGAGGAGTACCACAAAGTTGTTATCATCCCCTTAACTCTTTCATTGACACACTCTACTGTTAGTTATCACCACTTGTTGAGTCTTAAGCCTTGTCAGTTGAACAATGGAAGAGCCAAAGGGCACCATTGTTGGGTTGTATTTGGGGCAGCAACTGGCCTTAATCTTACTTGCTATCAGTTCAAGGATGATTAAGATAGTTTGTCTCGTGCAATGTGGAGGGTGGCTGTCCTATAAACTGCTTAGAGAGGGCTGTAAAGCACTGTGAAGCGGTATATAAGTCTAAGTCAGGGGTCTTCAAACTTGGCCCTTTTATGACTTGTGGACTTCAACTTCCAGAATTCCTCAGCCAGGCACATGTGCCTGGCTGAGGAATTCTGGAAGTTGAAGTCCACAAGTCATAAAAGGGCCAAGTTTGAAGACCCTTGGTCTAAGTCAGGGGTAGGCAACCTTGGCTCTTTTATGACTCGTGGACTTCAACTCCCAGAATTCCTGAGTCAGCATGGCTCAGCTTGGAAACCTCTCTTTCCCTTCAGCTTGGCTGGCTCAGGAATTCTGGGAGTTGAAGTCCACGAGTCATAAAATAGCCGAGGTTGCCTACCCCTGGTCTAAGTGCTACTGTAATTGCTAGTGTTAAATCTTTTTCTATGTGTTTGTCCCACCATCATGGGTAAATTGGGCTGGTTAGCACTGCTTTATACTGAACTGGTAAATTGAAATATTGTATCCTGTTTTTGTCACCCCATCCCAAAAAAGAGGCTCTAGAAAGTACAGAGAAGAGCAACAAATATGTTTAGGGCAGTGGTTCTCAACCTGTGGGTCGGGACCCCATTTGGGGTCGAACGACCATTTCACGGGGGTCGCCAAACAAGGCTGTCTGCCATTTTTTCCCTCTTTTCTTTGGCCACGCCTCTGGCACCCGGTGATGTATAAGTGGTTGGGGGTCACCACAACATGGGGAACTGTATTATGGGGTCGCGGCAT